ATCTGGGCAAAAGTAATGTGGTGTATTCCAGCCTTGTAATCAAATCATCCAGACTGCTTTGTAAACTGAATCAACCAATAAATTGAAAAGATCCAACTTAAAAGAATGATTCATTCACAAATCATGAGCATCACTTCTTCTCTAGGGAACATGCTAAGGAGATCTAGAGTGAGTAAATAGTGACAAATTTCATTTTTGGGTGCACCGTTCCTTTAAGTGAAATCAGGGCAGAGAGGGTGAAACTTTTATTCTATTAGATTTATATTAATCAGATCCATACATTTTGTTACATAGGTCAAAGTCCTGTGCATCCCCCTTCTCCGCTGGCCATGATGGAAAGCTCTCCGAGCAGCACCCGACCCAAACTGCCTCGTCACCGGCCCTTAAACCGAACCCAATCGGCTCCGCTGCCCCAGAGCACACTAGCTCAACTTGTGATTCAGCAGCAACACCAGAACTTCCTGGAGAAGCAGAAACAGTACCAGCAACAGGTCCACATCAACAAGGTACGATCATTAAACCGACCTGTCAGTGCAACAGTGATTTTAGTGCTATCGTGGGAAGATGAGGATGACGCTGAATGATTACGTTGTCATCCTAAAGCACATACATTTTCCTTGAAATACCATTCAGTTCACATGGGAACTAAAGTTGGACAGCCCATCTCCATTATGTTAGGGAAAAACCTGTACTGGGTTCAGAAGCAGCACTTGAATTAGCATAGCTTAAGGCATCAGTTGCATGCTAACACCACAAAATTGCACAGGGACAAGTTCAAATGGGCACCAAAGTGGATAGAATACATACTTTTGTTCCCCTGTGGAAATATTTGTGTTTCTGTGCACCAGCAGCCGTGACCTGGCCATCCGTTTAAGTGCAATTATTCTGCAACACATGCAATGTTAGCGACACGGGAGGCTCGCGCTGTGAAAGACTCCATTGTTAGCAGGAGCTTGCAGATTGATCTGCCTTATTATTGCTGAGAGTGCTATGGGAAATTCAAGGTTACAAGTGCAATTTTCAGACATGAAGATCAAAAGTGCCCAGAGAGCTCTTGTTTTGGCTATTTATTGTTATGGCCTTAGTCACTAAGGCCATGTACCAAAAAAAAAAAAATAACAGTCTGGTCTGGGTCACGAATGACTGGTATAGTTGTGTGACTGTTGTTTGAAATTTGCTAACTGATTTGTTTTTCATGTTCAAATCATGTTTAAATCCAAAAATGTTAAATGCAGAGTGCATAAAAAGCTGTTTAAAACAGGTTCTTAGAAATATAGTCTTTGTGTCATATGGTTAAACCATCAAGTAATAAAACATATTTTACCTACACCTTGAATACATGCAAGTGTATGCAAATAATTATTTTCAAAAACCTTTTTTGGTACGTTTTTGAAAGTAAATTCATGAATTATTAATTCACACATATCTAAGATTTTGGGGAAGCATATTACATGACATTTTACAATCTGAACTAAAGGTCAATCTGATATTTTTAGTAGGGTTTTACCTTGACAGACAGTTATGAGTTAAGATATCATTTCATATTGTATTTTTTTCTGCATGTTTACTGCATGTTGGTTGCACTATATGACTCTGATTTGGCAAACACAAGTTTCTTTGTTGGTTTGCTTTTTAATATTAATAAACAATGAAGCTAAAATATTTTTTCTAAGAAAAAGTAATATATTATTACAAACTATTTAAGCATTCATTTTCAAGAATTTAATTCTTTTAATTAAGCTTTTTTTTCTTCATTATGACATTGGACAGTTGTATCACTCTGACATGTCTAACTTTACACCCCCCCAAAAACATCAAAATTAATTTTAATTCAGAAATTCAAACATGCTCATCATTAAAGAGATGTATGAAAATCTCATTTATGAATTGCATTTATATGTATTGTCCTACAAAACAAATGAGCATCATTTAATTGACCCTGATGCTCATCATTAAAGAGATGTATGAAAATCTCATTTATGAATTGTATTTATATGTATTGTCCTACAAAACAAATGAGCATCATTTAATTGACCCTGCTATTTGTTCCAGACCAAAACTGTTTGTATATTGTATTGAATTCTGTTTGTACCATAAACAGATAAACTCATAAGCAAATCCTAATTATTCTCACTAATTATTAACAAGTAAATAATCTCTTTTTAGACAGTCTGTAACCCTAAACTGTTGTAGTTGGGAGTAATAAATGATTTCTGAGAGAAATGAGGTCATGAATGTTGTGAAATCAGGGATTAGCTTTCTGGTTTAATAACTGAATGTTTTACCTGCGCTAAATAGGGCACCTGTGTAATTTTACATCCGCTTACAAGCTTTAGTGGGAGATATAAAAAGTATTTTACTCATTCCGGAACACAGTGACTATATTTACTTGACATAGGATATATTTATATGAGACTCACTGTTTTGCTGTTATTCAGTCTTGTGAATGAGTTCCAATTCTGGTAAATGACAGCGTTTGTGTTGCCTGAGTTGGCATAGGGACAGTAAATGGCTCATTGACTGAAACAATTATGTGACAGAACATCCAATAATAAATCATGTTTCTCTTCTCCCACAGATGCTTTCGAAATCAATTGAGCAGTTTCGTCAGCCAAACGTCCACCCGCAGGAGTCAGAGGAGGAAGAGGGAGAGGATTTTTATGACCAGGCCATGCAGGAGGACAGCTCGCCCTCTGGTGGCGTCATCCGGAAGTATAGTCCCGACAGCAACCGCAGCAACACCTCCGCTTCACCCACCGAGCCACTGGACACTCACCGCGGAGTCATCCGGGTGAAAGAGGAGCCCAGTGCCAGTGATGATGAGACAATGGCTACTCAGAGCCTGGCCGACAAGCAGAGCTCCTACATTCACTATGTTAAAGGCAGGATGGTGATCCAGGCCATGATATGAAACGACAGATACATCTTCACACTCGCACACGAAGGCACAGGTTAACATACACGCGACATGCTTACACGACACAGAGCTTCAGAACTGGTCTCATTCGTGAACTTGTGAAGTGATCTCTGTATTGTACGTTGTATGTTCTGTATATAATTGAATAAGAAATTAGCCAACCCCGACAGCAGCCGCAGCAACACCTCCGCTTCACCCACCGAGCCACTGGACACTCACCCCGGAGTCATCCGGGTGAAAGAGGAGCCCAATGCCAGTGATGATGAGACAATGGCCACTCAGAGCCTGGCCGACAAGCAGAGCTCCTACATTCACTATGTTAAAGGCAGGATGGTGATCCAGGCCATGATATGAAACGACAGATACATCTTAACACTCGCACACGAAGGCACAGGCTAACATACACACGACATGCTTACACGACACAGAGCCATCGCTTTGGGAGCTTCAGAACTGATCTCATTCGTGAACTTGTTTAGTGATCTCTGTATTGTACGTTGTATGTTTTGTATATAATTGAATAAGATGAGAATTTAGCCAACTTGGTCTTTTAAATGCTAAGAAGCAGTTTTTGATTGTTTGTTGATAGTTGATAATTTAAGAAATCCTTTCTACTTTCTACCCACTCTTTGGAAAACAGCAACTCAAAGCTTTTGTAGGATATTTCTGTGATTTTTCCCATGGCACTATGGATTACTTATAGATCTTTCTTTGCTTTTTATGAATGTTATTATAAAGATAGGTCACAGTTTGTATGATGAAAAAAACTGAGAGACTCCCAAATTGTTTGGAAACAACCATGAAAATCCACACAACGACAGAATAAAATGAATATTCTAGGTTCAACACAAGTTAAACTCAATCGACAGCACTTGTAGGTTAATGTTGATTACCACAAAAAATATAATATAATGTAAAAATTGTAATTAATTATTCGATTGAAACGTGTCTATTATTTATGCTGTAAAGTTCTTGTCACCATATTTATGGTCATTTTTGGGTTTTAGACATTCTGTTGTAAAATGGCAGCGAAGTTATAAAACAACATAACTTTGCACAGAAAAGGTTAGTAAGCAAATTTTCATACTTCAATCATGTTAACAACACAGCATATTGTTTACATACTATTGAAATGGTAAGTATTTTAACAAATTGGCCTCATTAATTTTTTTGCATTGTTGTAGTAATCGATATTGTGCTAAGTGCTGTCGATTAAGCTGAACTTTTATTGAAACCCGGAATATTCCTTTAACAGTTAGAACAAGATCTGGAAAGCTCTAGAATGACATTCTGTGTTCCCTGTTCTCCTGTGGCCCAAACCGAAGGCTGCCCTGGATTGTGAGCAGCGCTCTGCTCCTGGCTGAATTCTGAGAGGTAGAGAGTTGTAGAGGAAATGCCTGGTGGAAGCCAGGAATCAGAATGATTCATGAGTGCAGGAATGCTGGGAGAGGACAACTCCACGCTGAAGTCAAGCGGACCCAGCAGTGAGCTCTGATTTACTGTTGAGGCAAATTACAATGTGAGTGAGGAGACGGCGGGGGGAGCCCCCTTTTAAAACCAATCATTTCCTCTGTATTCCCACGTGATGTGTTTACCATGACATGCAGGCTTGATGTTGCTTCGGTAGAAAAAAAAAGGTAATCGTTTTGTTCTCTCCTGAGGCAGTGTTTCCAGGCCATCTTCATGAAGTGCTCGGTTCAACTTGCGTGATAGTTTCAAGAAATGTACTATCGTCATTTTTTGTTAGCGAGCCATCTTTCCTGTATTTTTCTTTTTTTATTTCAAGCATTTGGTGTAAAACTGTTCAGTTTCGTGACTGAGATCCTCTGAAAAACATTAAAAAAAAACTCAAAGAGGAAAACATGTTTAATTGATGTGAGCCATCACTCTGTCTACAAATAGCCTGTGAGTCAACCTGAGCTGGCCTGTTTCGTTCCTGTTGTCTGTTCCACTGTTCTGGATGTTAATAAGAACTGTCCGCTAGCGATAGAATGTCACATTTAGTACGGGTTCCCTTCTGTCACAGATCACCTTTTTTAAATAAAGTTCTTTTCCATCCTGTACTTCTCTGGACAGTCTTTTCACCGGGTATGTTTAATGAGCGAATTTTCTAAATAAACAGAATTGGAGTATGTAAAGCAACTGCTCTCTGACAAACTTTCCCACAGTCAGCCAGAGTCCGGCTTCTCTCTGATTCTGAGGGCGATACAGAGGTTTTAGTCTCTGACTTCTAAGGCTTTCGGAACGGGGCTTTGAAGTGAACATGAGAGGTTCCCTAAGTCTGCATTAAAGCTGTTAAGATAAAGTGAACTTCAAGACGGTGATATATAACCTGGGTTAAAGCGACCAGGCCAAGTTTAACCAATTATGCAGGGTAGGCTTAGCCGGAGCTCGGACAATTCTCAGTCTGAACCAGCAATGCAAACGCAGTGTGCCACCTGTAAAAGTCGATGTATTGGTGTGTTTCAGTTTGACCAGCTCATGTCTCAATTGTTTTATTCAGCCATTTTGAATCTGGAGAGATGGACTGATATCAAATAACACAATAAAGGGCACATTTTTTGAACACTTGTGCTGCAGGTCTTATTATCTTGAATATTCAGTATTAGTGACTGATTGGCAATTTTATATGAGATATTCTAAAAGTTTGATTACATTTTGGCAGACGTTACAGAACATCAGCCCAAATATTTTTGACTATAAAACTATCAAATTTAATCAATTCATTTAATATAGAAATGAATATAAATAATTATTTCTTGCTCTCTGACAAGATTAACTAATTAAACAAAAAGTGAATGTCTGAGCCACTGGCGGGACCAAATGGGTTTGCAAACATAATAGCACTTTTCAAACAGAGTTCATGGACACACCCCTCATATGTCATTGGCTGACGAACCGATAGTTCCACCTCAAACAAACAGAAATGTTTTGAAGACAAGAAAAAAAAAACTTTAATTTTCGGATATATAAATTCAAGTATTTTGGATTTTTTCTGTTACACTTAAATTGTCTTTGCATATTAAAGGGGTCATATGTTGCTTTGCAACTTTACAGATCTTCTTTATGCACCAAGAGCTTGTAACACTCCAAAGAGGGAGGAAAACTTGAAATCGCATCATATGACCCCTTTAAGCTAATTACGCGTACATATTAGGTGTGTTCGACTTAAAAGCAGTGCGGCTCAGACCGATCAGTGTTTGACATCAAAGTACCTCGAGAGTGTTTCGAAAGCATAACCGTCTGTATGGTACTTTGATGTCATACACCGATCGATCTGCACACGCAAACAAAGCCAAAACCTAGATATTTTAGGCAATATAGAAATCCTGGCCAGGACGCGTCCTGGGAAAATGGCACGTATGGTCACCCTAGACTAGGTGAACATATTTTACTATTCACTTCAACACTCAAACATTTTTTTTCTGTCAATATAAAATGTAATGTTATATTAGGATTTATATTAATTTATTTAGCTGTCTAGTAAGTTTAGCTTGCTGGTATGAATGCATTATCTAACCAAATAAATATAGCAATGATTTACAGTAATACGATATGAAATAGTCACTTTTTTGGCACATTTTACAGTGTAATGAACAGAAAAAGTCAAGTCTAGTATTCCTAGTATCTGACAGTCCACAGTCCAGAAAAGTTTTTTTTTCTTCTTTTCTTTAGTGGACTGGTGTGAATGTACTGATGCCAGTGAGATGGTGGAATTAGATGTGTGTGTGTGTGTGTGTGTGTGTTTCTTTGGTCCTTTTCATTTGCCGCTACCAAACTCAAGGTGTGATTCAAGACTGCTGAGACTGTCTTGGCAGCCAATAAAGGAAACGTTTCTTTTCAAGAAAGAGTTATAAAACGCCCACCCGGGATCCAAATTGGTATCAAATAAAAAGGAGTGTGAACTGTAAAGGCTCCTCTCTGGTGTGGAATCATTTATTTTGGAGACACGTCTATGCCCAGTTCTCTTGGGCCCGGTGTTGGTGTTATTTTTGCAGCCTGTCAAACCAAATGTACATGGTGTGCCGTTCAATTGTTCGGCTGCTTCCAAGTTGGCTGACTGTGATTGACTGGCAATAAACTATGCTTTGCTTAACTGACAGATCATGGGCATTACATCAATGGAGAAATTCTGTCATTGGATCCATCATGAGACATAATATATCTGCAAAGCAAAATATATGAGTGGTAACTGCTTGATGGGGACGCTGTGGCTCGTGCTGGGTTATCATTACCCATTATGTTAAGCTATTTGGTGGTTTTGCAACGTTTCACATTGTATGGTCAAGACCTCATCCAGTAGACGTCAGTGTATTGCAAGCAGCCAGAATGGGAGAGTAAGACACTGGGACAGCGAGTTCTCGTCTCGCCCTTTGCTGTCAGGGAGAACTGGAGTTCCCCACCCTCAATGATTGAAAACGAAGAAACGCTGCCATAACTCTGACCCACAGAAATGTTGTCGGTCGCACTGGCCAGCCTCATACAACCCGTTATCGTGACTCAAACAGCATTGATCTTCCCTGTCATGTTTAATGAGGTAAGCGAATGGAGAAGGGGACGTTCAAAGAGCAGGCGGCGTGCGGGACCTGCTGTATCTCACAGTCAGATTGGTCGGGCTGATAGGTGAGGGTGAGGAAGAGCAGTGGCCCGGGATAAGGGCTCCCCTGAGAAGAGCTGACTGCACTCCAATCCGTGAGGGCCAACATCCTAGCTAAGAACTTTGTTTTAAGAACATTTTGTAATGTTGCCATTAAGTTTAACATTTTTGCTTGTTTATTCAAACATTGTGGGTAACATTATAAAATTTTTGATTTTCTCATTATGCAAATACACCACAAAAGTGTTGTGTTCAAACTGACAATGTTTGACAAACTTCAACCAAACAAAGTTCAATATGGCTAAAAACATTAAACATGATTGGACAAAAAATACAGTCTAACAACAATAAAACAGAGGTACTTACAAACCAATGAAACACTGCAGACTATTAAGGTAAACTTTAATAATTAAAGGAATAGTTCACTGAAAAATGAAAATTTGCTGAAAATGTACTCTCTGTCAGGTCATCCAAGATGTAGATGAGTTTGTTTCTTAATATGTACAGATTTGGAGAAATTTAACATTGCATCAATGGATCCACTGCAGTGAATGGGTGC